ATATAAACTAATAAAATTAGACAAATCATGCGGATTTAAACATTTTTATGTAGCTTTAATATTTATTTTTGTAGCCATGACCATTGCTGCTTACTGCATTAAGGCTTGAGATGGTTTTTCACGTGCAATAAATTACCATGTGTTATAACATGAAAAAAATAATTCTTGATATTAATTTCATGTACTAATTTCATCAGTAGTTTTGGTTAAATTATCTATGAGGTATTAATGATTGAATTCTTATTAACTTTTATAATTTTTATGTAAAATAATATAAAAATACATTCATTATATGTTTAATATGTACCTAAAAAAAACCATTTTTAGATTGTTAATTATGTAGCAACTGCCTTTTCTTAAAAGTGCTGTTGCAGAACCTGCAAAAAGGTCCAATCGACTGCCACTTTCCCCTTGTGGGGTTCACACGGTGGTGGGACTCGCATTCAAATTTCAAACTTCAGTGCTCCAAAAATTGATTCCCCCTGCCCTGTCCTTTATAGTAAAAATTCAGAATAAAATTACCACTTTTATAATAGCCTCTCCTATTTAAGGGAAAATTCAGAATAGACCATGCCGAAAAAAAAAATTTTTTCGATAAAAGAAAAAATTAGAGAGGAGACAGGAGAGGAGCAAACCTGGTTCTTTGGTTAAAAACATTAAAATAAGTTGAAAAAAATCAACCTTTGAAAATAAATAGTATAAGAAATGCTTAACTTAAAAGTCAAGTTAAGATGAGAAAGATCTACAAAATAATTGAATTAATTATTAGTAAAAACATATTTTTTTATTTATATAATTAAGATTTGAACTTTCATTCTTATTTATATAATTAAAGTTTGAATATTTATTCTTCCTCTTCATTTCTCTTTTATATTAAGGTTTCAACTAATTAATTTGTTTTATAAACAAATGGTAAAACTTTTAAATTCATCCCTTAAATAAGAATGTAACGATAAATTTACTTTAAAAAATAGAGATAAATTATCTTTTAAAATTATTAATTAAGATAAATTATTTATTTTATCATATGTCAATTTTTTGTTAAAAAGGTTTATATGACAAATAAATTTTTAACATGTGATGATGTCATAAATTAAATAATAAATAATTTATCTCTATTTTTTAAAAAGTAAATTTACTCTTACTTTTTTTTATTTGCTGTGCAAATGTGAGGTTCTACCTATAGAAAAAGTTGTCCAGTGCTAACTAAGATATTAATAAGATTTAAGAGGTTTCAGCAAAATATCTAATGCAATATTGAAGGAGCTTCTAGTCATATGGGTTCTTTTTAATTAATATGTACTTTGATTTCTATTTTAGTGATTATTGTTCAATTACTTGATTCAACGTTTTAGTCGTTTGTATTGGTTGGTTTTAATTGATTTGAGTAGAGTAACTGATTCAAGCGAAAGAAATTGAAGTGAAAAAGCTGGATGGAGAGTAATTGTGAGTGAATCATGTGTATTAAGATTATCTTTCAACATCAACAATTTAAAGTTTTCCATCTAATGTTTAATTAGATAGGAAATTTGAGTGTTTTGACTTTTAGTCATGAATTAGGAAAATTTTAGTAGTTGAAATCCTGCATTAAATGTTGGATACTGGTACGAGTCCTTTGGCATCATTTTTGCTTTTAAGGAGATTATTAGTACACTTTAAAGTTTCGACACAACCCTCGCTCACCTATATGTTGAAGATTTTAATTAAAAGTTACAAATTTCATTATTTTCAAAATCAATTTCAGCCGGTTACAAATTCATTGTTTCCAAAAAATCAATCTTGTGTCAGTTACAAATTCATACCTTCCTGCTTTAAGAATGGATTTGTGCGTTTCTAAATCAAATTCAAATATTTTAATATTACAACCTGTTGTTTTATTATTATATTTTTTGTAATCGGTGAGATGCACGATTTACTTATCAGCCTTTTCATTTTTGTAACCGACAAGATTTATTTTAAATTCATAACAGTCTTGCACTTTATTTTCCAGTTACATTGTAAAAGCTTATAAATAGGCAGCCTCCATTTCTACCAAAAAGATTTGATACAATTTTTATTATCTACACTCTTATTTCACAAACACAATATACAAAGGCAAAATACCCAAATCCACCCCCAAAGTATAATGGCAGGGACGGATCCACCATCGAACAAAAAACAGGGACAAATCCACCCACAAAGTTTTTTGATTTAGACAAATCACTCCAAATTTAACGTGTGACGTCATTTGACATCAGCAATTCGTTAATTCGTTAACGGATTGCTGACATCAAATGACGTCAAATTAACAGATTGCTGATGTTAAATGACGTCACATGTTAAATTTGGAGTGATTTGTCCAAATCAAAAACTTTGTGGGTGGATTTGTCCCCGTTTTTTGTTCGAGGGTGGATCCGTTCCTGCCACTATACTTTGGGGGTGGATTTGGGTATTCTGCCATATACAAACTCTCTTTAGGCAAGGAAAAGATGGCAGGATAAAGCTTTCTTTACAAGAGTGCAGTACTTGTAAAGATACAACAACGAGGTTGAGCTGTTGTATTCTGGGGGTGGTGTGACCATAAAAATATACTGTACTAGTGGCACGAAATGTCCTAAAGAGAGTGATTGATCCATGCCTTAGCTCAAGCTCCTCATACTTTCGGTGACATCTTTCTACTTTTCATTTTCATCTTTAATTAATTGTTTTTTGCAAATCTTCTGTTTATTTTATTTTCTATTTATTTTACGAGAAACATCAATTTTTAGGACGTTTCGTTATTTTCTTCACAATGTCTTGCAATAGTTCAATGCTCTCCCTCTTTACATTCTCTGTTGGGATTCCAAGTTTTTCATGGTATATAAACCTTCTTCTCTAAATAAATTTGGTATGGAATGGCGATTCACAATCAACTACCAAATTTTGTGAAAGAGCGACTTTAGCAGACAACACCAGGCAACTTTAATGCTCCAGCCTTCAAGTTTATGTAAGCAATAGTAGAGGAAGGAATACAAATGTGGTTGACATGGAAATGAACAAGTTTTTCTTTAAACTCAATTATTTGAGAAATGTGGAAATCACATATTTGAGATGCTTCCAATGTGGGGGATTGTGATATCCTTGTATAATAGTTTTGGTGATGAGACTAACGCTGCCTAATTGAGATTTTGCATAGCATTTCTATTATACAATAAGGTATAATGGTGCTTAACAAAGTAAATGTGATATGCACTCCTATTATACAATTGTGGTATAATGGTGTATGATGAAAAAGG